AGACCATTAGTGGTAAGTCCTGTCATGGGAAGAACGCAGGGAAGAGGGAAGAAAGGGCTGGGTACAGGGGCAGGGTGCTACTTTCAATAAGCCAGGAAGGCATATCGACAAAGGTGACCTCCGAACAGAGACCTGGAAATAAAAGAAAGCATCAATGTGGGTATCTGGGGGAGTCTGTACCAGGCAGGAGATGAGCAAGTGCAAAGGCCCTGAGAAAGGAGCACGCTTGGGATGTTGGAGGAACAGCACGGTGACCAGTGGGGCTAGAGCGCGGCAAGGGAGGACACAGTAGGAGAGAGAAAGTCACAGAGGTCATGTTGTTGTTGTTAGTTGCCACCAAGTAAATTCCGACTCAGGGCAACCCCGTGTGTTACAAAGTAGAACTGCTCCATGGAGTTTTCTTGGCTGTAATTTTTCCAAAAGTAGATTGCCAGACTGTTTCTTCCGCGGTACTGCTGGGTGGGGTCAAATCACCAACCTTTAGGTAAGCAGTCGAGTGGAAACTACTTGTGCCACCTAGGCACCTTAGGACAGAGGTAATGGGGTACCATATATGACTTTCACTCTGAATGACTTAAGTGCACTGGGGGTCTGGAGCAGAGGAGTGACAGGATCTCTCTTATATTTTAAAAGGATTACTCTGGCTGCTGCATGGGGATGGGCCTGGGGTGGGGGTGGCATGAAAGAGCAGAGGCAGGGAAATAATTAGAAGGCTTCTGCACTAATGCAGGCAAGATATGGTGGTGGCTTAGACGGGGATATAACAGTGGCAGTGGTGAGAAGAAATCAGATTTTCAATATACAGTAGTTTCAAGGTAGAGCTGACAGTATCTGCTGATGGACTGCACGTGGTATGAGAAGAAAAGAAAGGCGGCCGTTAAACACACCTGAGCAAATGGAAGGGTGGAGCTGCCATTTACTGCAATTGGGAAGGGCAGGTCTGAGGGGGAATCAGTATTGTGTTGTTTTGGATGTGTTAACTTTCAGAAGCCCATTAGTCATCTCAATGGAAATATGCAGGCTACTGGCTATACAAGTCTGGAGTTGAGATGAGGTCTGGGCCAAAGATATAAATTTGGAAGTCATCAGTGATAGATGGTAATTAAAGCCCCAAGCCTAGATAAGACTTCCTCGAATACGAGGGTAGATAGAGAAGAGGTCTGGGGGCAGCGCCTGGGGCTCTCCAAAATTTAGAGGTCAGAGATGAGCAGTACTAGAAAAGGAGTCTGAGAAGGCATAGCCTATGAAGTAGGAAAACGCAGAGCGTGTGATATCCTGGAAGCCAAGTGAGGAAAGTGTTTCAAGAACTGGGGAGTGATGAAGCAAGCTTTAGACCTTGCCTAACTGACAAGGGTTTCTTAGGACCTAGAGGAGAAAGTGATGTGCACCAGGACCCAGCATGGGTTCAATAAGAAATTATCAGGTTCATCTGAGTGCCTTGGCTAGTTAACCAGAGAAAAGAACAGGATATAGTCTATCTGTACCTCTACAAAGATGCAGAAAAACAGTCTGATGCGATGACAAGGAGATGGATTAGAAGCTGCTTGACTGATGACACCCAAGGGCACACACAAGTGAATCAGTGTCAACCTCAAAGGAGATTTCTAGTGACATGTCATTGGGCTCTGTCCTTGCCTGTTCAACATATCAGTGGCATTTATTAGTGATAGCTAAGCTTGACTGCGATCAAAACGATCTAGGAGCTTGTTAAAATAAAGCATCCCAGCCTCTATCCCAAACCTACTGAATCTGAATTTCACCAGGCAGCACAGGTGATTTAGAAGAAACTGAGGGAGGAGGGTGATCAAAATGTGCAGCCGAAACCAAGATGAGTGGAATGGGGAATGTGCTGGATGACAGCTTCTGACTCTAAAACAATCTCAGCAGGTGAGAGGTGGGCTGAACTATAACTGAATAAATGTGGAATCTTGCATTGACTCTGATCAGCCAGACATGAAGTGGATGAGGAAAACACAGCTTAGTATCTGGGTCTGCAACCAACTGGGACCCTCAGTGAACTGTGGGCTCAGCGATCAACAGTGGGATCTTGAGCAGCACTGACAAGAGCTCAGGGGAGAAGCAGTGTAATCCAGCCATACTTTCTACAGCCCATAAAGCACTGTCTTAGTTACCTACTGTTGTTGTACAGAAATACCACAAGTTGGGGCCTTTAAAGAACAGAAATTTATTTTCTCACAGTTCTAGAGGCTAAAAGTCCAAATCAAGGTCTTCGTCATGTTGCCTGCTTCCTTGTTGGTAGTTCCAGACATTCCTTGGTTCCTTGGGCAATCCTTGCATGGCATCTGCCTCCCCCAGTGTGTGTGTCTCTGTGTCTAATTTGCTGTTTTTATAACACAGAAGTGATTAGATTTAGAACCCACCCTACTTGGGTATGATATAATTAACATAACGAAGAAAACCCTATTTCCAAACAGGATTACACCCACAAGTATAGGGGTTAGGATTCCAACACACATTCTGGGCGGACACAATATAATCCACAACAAGCACCCTCCCAATGGTACAGAGAACACACTAAAATGAGGTCAGGGGAGCACAACCAAGATGGTGAAGGACTCCAGCTCATGACATGTGAGGACCACCCTGCCTGGTCTGCCCTCTGCCTGCCTCTCTCACTGCATCCCTTGCCTCTTCTTGCCCTTGTTCTCTCCTTCCAGTCATACTCACTTTCTTGCTGCTCCTTGGAATCACCAAGTCCTTGCCTCAGGCCCACCACACTTGCTATTCCCTCTGCCTGGAATGCTCTTCCGTCAGTGGTCTGTGGATTCCTCTTACTAAACCCAGGTCTCTGCTTAAATGCCACCTCCTCAGTAGTTCCCAACTACTGTCTAAAGAGCCCCCTTTTCCCATCACTCTCTAGCTAGCTCTTACCCTGCACTTTACCTTTCTACCTGGATGTATCCACTTGGCTGGTTAACTGCTCGTTGCCAGCTCCCTGCACTAGAATACAAGCGCTATGAAGGCAGGGGCTCTGCACCATTTGCTCCTGAACATCCAGGGCCCAGATCAGTTCCTGACATGTGGCCAGTATTCACCAAACTGGTCACTGGATGAATAAATGCAAGATTGAACATGTCCTCTCCCCTCTGCTGCCTCCACTTGGATCCTGCTCATCTAGATCTGCTACACAGGAGCTGGATGATCTTGGACAAGTAACTAACTTCAACTTTCAAGAGAAACTTTCTATTTGCTGAGAGTGCCCCTGATGAAGAATGGACTGCTTATTTCATTCCTCCCTAAAGACAGCATCACCCTCTTTCTTGATATCTGTGTGAAACTGCCAGTTCTAGAAGTTTGTGATTTTATCAGAGAAGAGATATTTGGGGCAACTGATGAAACAAAAAGATAATTATATTTCATAAAAAGAAGAAAAAAACTTCAAAACAACCAATTGTCTGTTCATTGCTCAGACAATCAGATCATTTAATGCTTTCCAGCATCTGTTTAAGGCAGATAGAAATGGACTCTTATGAAAGGACTTACAAAAAGCTGTGTTATCTGGCAGTTTAACCAACCAGAGAGCTTCTAAAAGTGGAATTTCTGAGATTCCACCAATACAAATCTCCAAGCTTACAAAAGGATTGTGGCAGAAGCTAATCATAATAAAAAAGAAGACCAGTATTCCACATAAAAGTTTCTGGAGAGAAGATTATCTCTGTTTTGAGACTTTAATTTGTCTCACTTCGTATATAATCACTGCCCCATCTCATAACTTCACTCTGGTTGCTGGAAGGCAGCTCATTTTCTGTAAAACATTTTACATTCTGTAAAAGCATTTTTTAAATAAATAGAGGGTGGTTCATTTTCAAAACTCAGGATTTACTTCGAGTTTTGTTTCAGAGAGTCTATGTGAACACTGTTTTGGTTGTGGAAATTCCTGCGGCATCTGGGGGGCTGTTGTTTCCTGGATCTTTAGTTTTTCTCTCCTTTCTCGATACCTGGAACACATCAAAGGAACTCTTGGCTTAAGGCTGTGGTCAGGCTAGGAGAGCGAAATACCAGAGAGATAAGAGAAGAGTCTTCTGGGAAAATTTAAACTAACCTCGTAGTTTACAACAATTTTTAATCAATCCATACACTCCCTCACTCTCACAAGGCGGAAGATAATAAAGCTTTACTGTGTAGCCAAATACCAGGAAAGATAAAATTCTGCAAACTATTTCACTTCCAAAAAAGGAAGAAAAAAGTAGTTCATGTTCATTTTTGGATTCCAGTGCTTGGCCTCAGTACGACAAATTGTAAGGTAAAAATTAAAAGGTACAGATGAGAAGTAATGTGGAGGAGTGGACACAGGGTAGAGCTGTCATCAGTGTGTTGCCTAGCGCATCTTCATTGTAACCTAGAACATGCTACTCCAGAATTCCAGATTTTTCCATTTATTACACTATATTTGATCATGAATTTTTGAATACTCCTTAAACCTGCCATCAGCAGTCAAGTAGTCACATTCTTTAGCATTAACGATGAGTTTATCTGATATTCACAAGAGTGATATCCAGTTTCCTTCATATCATATACTAACAGTTGGTCACATAATGCTCACACTAAAAAAAAAAAAAGAAAATCATTTTTATAGCTTAGATAATCTTACAAAGGATATTTAAGGAAAAAAAAAAGGTAAGAGAGAAAAGAAGGCTACAGGTAGTTAAGTGATATTTCTACGCATTACTAAAAATCTTGTGCCAGAGTAAGGAAATGTCCATTGGAATATGTATCTCTGGCTAACTGATAAAATTCCAATACATACTCTCTGTTTTGCATGTGTATTGTTACTGCTGTAATTATTTTGATGCAGTGATCAGTTGAGGCCCCATTCCTAAACAATCTTTTAGAGTATGGCATTATCTTCCAAGAACACTTTCTTTTAGTACAGTCATTTTTCTTTATACCCTTCAGTTATCAAAGAGGAAAATGAAACAATATATGTAACGCGTAGCCTCTAACAAGCAAAATGTGTGTTTTTATTATATTCAACTTACCTTTTCATTCCATGCCCACAGTCCAATTCCAAGAAACGCTATTCCCAAAAACTGAAATAAAGAAAGAAAGCAGTGTAAGGAGAAGGGTAAACACAGTTTCTTTACTCATACAAATAAAGTTTTCAGTCAATACATTTGTCATTTTACTTGGCTAGGAAATAGCTTTCTCTAAATTCTGAATAACAGTCTTTACCAGTGTCTTAGTCATCTAGTGCCGCTATAACCTGAAATACCACAAGTGGATGGCTTTAACAAAGAGAAATGTATTCTCTCACAGTCCAGTAGGCTACAAGTCCAAATTCAGGGCATCAGCTCCAGGAGAAGGCTTTCTCTCTCTCGGATCTGGAGAAAGGCCCTTGTGATACATCAGTCTTCCCTTGGTCTGGGAGCATCTCAGCATAGGAACCTCAGGTCCAAAGGACGTGCTCTGCCCCCAGCACTGCTTTCTTGGTGGTATGAGGTTCCCATGTCTCTCTGCTTGCTTCTCTCTTTTATATCTCAAAAGAGACTGGCTTAAGACACTATCTAATCTTGTAGACCTCATCAATATAACTGCCACTAATCCATGTTATTACATCAAAGCGATAGCATTTATAACACATAGGGAAATCACATCAGATCATAAAACGGTAGACAATCATACAATACTGGGAATCATGGCCCAGACAAATTGATACACACATTTTTTGGGGGGACATAATTCAATCCATGACAACCAGGAAAAGAAATACCATAATCCACTTGCCTAAAATTATTAAGGTATTAAGAGTTGGAGACAGTTAGGTGCTAAGAAGTCATTCAGATTATGAAAAATAATAATTGGGTAGAATCTTGAGTAAAATGAAAGTCATCAATAACACTTAATGCTGTCTTTTGGGTTGGGAGAGAGAACAGGGAGTGTCCCCATGAATTTGAGCCTGCTGCTCACTAGAAAATGGATAACCAGAGGCAGGGATTTGGAAGAGCACAGAACCCCAAGGCTGGTGATTCTCTTCTCATCAACATGTCATTATAGATGGGCCAGGTCAAAGAGGGCATGCAGAAGTCCTCAATGTCCTTCAACAAGCTCATTATTACTTTTTCAAATGTAACATGAATCTTATCAAATCCAATAAACCCAAACAAAATTCCTACATTCTTCTCTTTTTCAGAAACCTAAATTACTTAAATGGCAGTTCAGAGGGCTTCCACAACTCTTCCTGGTTTTAGCTCCATTCCAGCACCTCATGTATAACACGGAGTATACAAGTAACACGTGGGATTGAGTTAAAGAAGAACACAAAGAAGCATTCAGTTTCCATGCATATGGGGCATCTAGTACATCATCAAGTATCTCACAGTTCTGTCAAGTAGCCTCTTTGAGTATTGTGAAGGACAAGGAGGGGAATCAGCTGGTACCCAGGAGAACTTTACATTTTAATTAGTTCTCCCTGTATTTCGTCTGCTCTAAGATACACATTTTTCACCACATTTTAACATCTCTGAAACTGGAATGTGTCTCAAAATCCATGGTATCTCACAGTTTAATTGGTGACTTTTTTTTCCCTTTATTGTACCTAAAATAAGAGTGTGTCTTATAATTGGAGTGTCACAGACTTGATGACACATTGTACAAGGCTGTCCACCCACTAAGAGCTCAATGATCAGGACTGGGGGTAATTGGCCATGAGGAAAGAGACATCTTATTCCTTCGTTTTATTATCAGTAGCAACTCGGCATTTCCTTTCCACTGAAGTGAAAGGAAAGTGGGTAGGTTGACAGGCACTTTCTGTCGATGGTAGCAGTACATACTGTTTATTTTACTAGCATCTCGATTAAGTTAAATGTCAGGAAGGCTGTCGACTGAGAGGGGCACCCAGAGAAAACAAGAGTGAATGTGGTTATTCTTTGCAATTTTAGGGAAATCTGAGAATTGTCCACCTGGCGTGTCTGCCCACTCAAAGCAGGGGGTTACTGACACTTTGTAGGCAGCAGCTAATAAATCCAAATGGGACTGGGAAAAGAGCAGGAGCAGAGGAAAAACAAGGCAACGAAAAAAGAAAACAAAGAACAAAAAGGAAAAGAAAAATGTAGTGGTGCTTTTGAAAGTACACTTCCCAGGTAATTGTCCCAAAGCTTGCAGCAGTTACCTAACATTGCAGTAAGACAGTACGCAATACTTTCTGATCCCCTATACAGAAAAGAAGGGCCCTGGTGGCGCAGTGGTTAAAGCACTCGGCTGTTAACTGAGGGGTCAGCAGTTAGAACCCACCAGCACTCTATGGCAGTCTGCTTCTATAAAGATTTACAGCCTTGGAAACCCTACGGGGGTCTATAGGGTCACTACGAGTCAGAATCGACTCAACGGGAGTGGGTTTGGATTTTTATACAGAAAAAATTCAGCATGTCCTTGACTTGGCAAAAAAATGAAGACCCACTTCTTCCTTCCTTTGCCCTTATGGGGGAGCTGTGTGAAAAGTGGAGTCTCTGAATGGTGCAAACGGTTAGTGTGCCCAGCTGCTAACTGAAAGGTTGGAGATTTAAGTCCACACAGACACACCTCTGATGAAAGCCATGGCGATCTACCTGCAAAAACTCAGCCCTTGAAAACCTTATGGTGCACAGTTATACTCTAACACACATGCGGTCACTACGAGTTGGAATCAACTTGATGGCCAACTGGTTACTGGTGTGAAAAATGTTTAGAAAGATTTTTTTTTTAATACTCCAGTAGAAAAACTGTGGTCAGCCCCTGTATTGCACTGGTCAGAATGCTGTTTCATGTTACATTTCACACCCAATACAACAAATAAACCAGTCCCCCAAATGACTTAAAGGTACATGAGTCTCTGTAGTATGAAAATAAAATAATTCAGGATACTACTCTCATATTCACAGGTTCTATGAAACCCTATGGGGCAGTTCTACTCTGTCCTACAGGGTCACTGTAATTTGGAATTGACTCCACAGCACCGGGTTTCTTTATGAGCAATAGGGTAAGAACTGACAAATGAACACAGAGGGTCCCATCAGACCTGGAAAGCATCGGAGCACAGAGTTAAGGTTTTGACTTCACACACATGACATCAAACCCATACCAGTGAAATGCCTCACTTTCTAATTCTAGTGCTTTTAATGGACAAACATTTGGTTATTTCCCCTTTTGATGGTTAGTCTTATGTGTCAATTTGGCTATTCTATACTGTTCAGTTATTTAAGCAAACTAGTCTAGATGTTGCTGTTCTGTAGATGCAATTAACGTTTACAATCAGCTGACTCTGAGTAAAGGAAAATGCTCTCAATAAAGTGAGTGGGCCTTATCCAATCAGTTGAAGGCCATAAGAGCAAAAATTGAGGTCTCTAGGAGAGGAAGAAATTCTGCCTCAAGACTGTAACATAGATATCCCTGCCCAAGTTTCTAGCCTGCCAGCCTGTCCTATGTATTTTAGACTCAAGACTGCAATATCAACTCCTGCCTGAGTGGAGGGTATGTGTGTGTATAAAACAAAAACAGTTACCATCAAGTTGATTCCAATCTACGTTGGCCCCATGTGTTGCAGAGTAGAACCATGCTCCATAGGTTTTTAAGGCAGTGACCTTTTGGAAGCAGGTCGCCAGGACTTTCTTCCAAGGTACCTCTGAGTAGGTTCCAATCACCAACCTTTCAGTTAGTAATCGAGCACTTAACCATTTGTGCCACTCAGGGACTTCATATACATAGATACACATACATAAATATATATATACACACATATATACATACATACATATATACACATATATACATACAGACACATGCACACACATGTACATACACACACACACATACACACACACACACACACACACACACACTCCTATTCGTTCTGTTTCTCTGGAGAACCCTAACTAATACACCCCTGATACAGTATTTAATCACAGTGTCAAGAAAAGCAATAAGTGGGATTTTGTGACAACGGACATTGTGATCAACCACCTCTGTTGCTGCTAAAGAGGATGGGCATGTCACTGCTGAGGATCCCTGCCTAATCACTAACATTTATGGAAGTTCTTATTACTTGCCAGGCACTGTGCTTAGTGCTTTGTATGCACTGTCTGCCTTAAACTTTCAAGGCTCAATTATTTTCTGCTTTGAATTTTTTTTTTTTGGATGCCATGTGTTTTCTTTAATGGAAGCATGCTGAGTCATGGAGCATGTTTAAATTTTTGGTTGGTAACATGGATTTTAAGATAATTCTGGTACTACATGGTTACCACAGAACTTTTAAGGTTCTCAAACCCCATAATTAGTGGGAACCCATCTTACCTCCAGAGCTTGGTTGCTAATGTTCTTTTGTGGCGCCTTCCATTAGGTTACATGGGGAACCTCTGGTTTTCCAAATACAGCACAAAACAAGGCTCCCTAACTATCACATAGAAAACCATAAGTATGCTCACATGGCTTAGCTAGGGGTACAAAAGCCAACTGAGACAAAATTTTTACCAAATCACACTTCCTGGATGCACAACCTCACTTGCAAGCCTCATACCCCAGCTATTTTGCTTCAGCTAAGGTTTCTTTCACCTTTCACCATTACATAAATCCCCAGTGGAGGGCAGCAAATACTTTCAGTAGTAAAACTACACTCCCAAAGAAGCTGAGAGCCGGAAAAAGTAGGTGGTATACTGTATATACCATGGGTCATGAAACAGGCCTTTCAATAATTTTTTTAAAATATTTTTTGAATATTATATCCTTTTTAAGAAAGATAAAATGAGGCTTAGACAGTTTAACTTGCTCAAAGGCACACATTTTCTAAGCAGATGAGCAGAGGTTTGAACCATCAAAGTAAATTTAAGAAAACCCATTGCTGTCAAATTGGTTCTGACTCATAGCAACCCTACAGGACAGAGCAGAACTGCCCATAGGGTTTCCAAGGAATGAGTGGTGGATTCGAACTGCTGACCTTTTGATAAGCAGCTGAGCTCTTAACCACCACACTACCAGGACTCCAATAGTCACTGGTAAATTCCCATTTTCCCCCCATGGGACAGAAAGTTGAAGCATTTGGGTTACAATACATGTGATATGA